GTGCGTGCGTGCATGCATTAGTGTGTATGTGTGTGTGTGTGTGTGTGTGTGTGTGTGTGTGTGTGTGTGTGTGTGTGTGTGTGTGTGTGTGTGTGTGTGTGTGTGTGTGTGTGTGTGTGTGTGTTAGCCATGGGTCACAGCCTCTGCTGTCATGTCACAGTATTCCCATGGCACTTCAGCCACCTGGACACACCTGAAGCTGAGAGGGAGAAGAGGCGGTTTATAAAGAGAGAGATAAAGAACTGTCAATCAAATGTCAGGCTCAACTCGAGTGGTGCAGGAATGAGTCCTAAAATCTGGAAATGAGTTGGCATTTTACGATTTCCTACCAATTCCCTTCTCAAAGTCAATGTTTTTTTAACATGTTTTTGGTTATATATATTCACGGTTTTTTATACGAGAAAAAATGTGTCAGTAAAAACCCCACCGGTGAATTTTAGAAGTGCTAACAAGTGTCAATAAAGACGCCGAACAATTGCTGCGTCCTAGAAAGATTATGGAGATTTGTAATCGTTTTGTTTAAGCATAACTTTTAGTAAACGCCGGGCAAGTGTTGTCAAGTTTTTTCATCTGCATGTGTTTTTTTGCATCCTTTCCGAAGCTGCAGCGAATTTCTCCTAATGGAAATATCTTGAGCTGTTGTAACACTATGTCTGTCCTGTCTGAATGCGAATATTTCAAAGTGGGTACATTATTGAAATAAGTTTGAGAAATGCTGGTTTAGAAGATGGTAAATGAAAGTCTTAACATCCTGTTCGTACCACACAGTTTGTAGTAAACTTTAAGTGTGTTATTTCTGCTTTGTTTCTGTCGTTTCTGTCATCTTTTTCGGGCAGAAACCTCAAAACAATGCAGAAAATAAAGAACAAATCTGCAGCCATGTCCCTGCAGCTGCCCCTCCTTGCCTCAATACAATCCACATCTCTTTCTAAGAAACAAAAACAAATCATACAAGTTGATCTTCTGCACTACAGTATCATCGCTGTGGCCGTCACGCTCCACTTTCCCCTCTTTCACATTTTTAAGTGCCCTTTTCACGTGGCACATAAAGGGAAGTTGTTGGGGGAAAAAAAGGTAAAATTTGCAGCTATTTCCTGTTAATATCTTTCCCTTGTTGGGCGCTAATGAGAGGAGTCGCCCCTTCACTTTCAAGAGGGCTTAGCCGCAGTTAGCTGGCTCGGGGCAATAATCACATTTTAACTCAGCCTCACACCCCTCGCCAAAACTCACACCACTTAATTCCCTCTTTCAGGCCGGCGGATAAAACGCCAGAGGCTAAATTAATAGATGCTAATGGCCGCCTTCAATCAAAGCTGAGCGGGGTCCAACTCTGCCAGCAAGGCCTATTAATTAACATGGGGGGGGGGGGGCAGGATGGGGCTCATCGGTTCACACGGGCCTCCGCAGGGCAGCCCATTGTGGGGGGAGGCGGGGGGGCTTTGTGCTGAGTCCCGGGGCCACAATTAGAGGCCCCTCAATGAGCTGCCATTTGTCCTACAGGTCCAGAAGCTGCACAGGAAGGCCGAGCATGACGTCGAAGTGACTTTATTCTAACGATGAAAAGTAAATATGAGCTTGTGTCATGCATGCAGCAGGTGGGAATTCACTTCAGGGCCGATAGAGTGGTGCAGGAATGAGTCCTAAAACCCAGATATGAGTAGGCATTTTAGCACTTCCTGTTCCCTAGTCTCGAAGTCAATGGTTTTTTTTTTTTAACGCGTTTTTGGACATCAAATACGTCAATAAATACCCAACTGGTGAATTTTAAAATGGCGGTTGCTAACGAGTGCCTAAATGAGACGACTAAACGTTTTCAAGCCCAACATTAGCCGCCTTTAGCTTAGCGGTGGTGACGTGAAGTCATGTGACCGTGCTGTAGTTCCTTTATAGCCCAACATTAGCCACCTTTAGCTTAGCGGTGGTGACGTGAAGTCATGTGACCGTGCTGTAGTTCCTTTATAGCCCAACATTATTATCAATTTATTGTCAACTGAAGTGTTTTTGACTGACAGGTGTTTTGATTCGTTTACTGCCTTTAGGAAACGAGAGCTGAGACTCACACCCTGAGAGAAGAACGGATAACAGAGGGAGGTTTCCTCTGACCTTTGACCCTGGGGTCAATTGTCTTGTTCTGTGTCAATTGACCTGTCGCTCAGGGGAGACACACATTCACACACTCACACACACAGACACTGAGCTAAAGGCATCTTTTCCTGTTCAGACTACAAAATGATTTTTAGTAGTATTCAAGCTTTATCGTCGTTATAAAACACAATTAAAAATGAGAAGTAAATAAAACAAAGAAAATTAGAAATAGATGAATTAATGAAGACGTAGTATTTGTTTTTTTAAATAATTAAATACAAATATTATATTATTATAATAAAAAACAAAACAAAGTATATAATATTAAATATTAAACGCTAATAATACGTTTTCAATAAATATATAATAATAATAATAATAATACTAAATTAAAAGGGACACATATAATACGAAAACTAAAATATTAAACATAATTTAAAAATACGAATTAAAAAACAATAAAGTACAAATAATAATAATAATAATAATATAAAATAATAATAATAATTAAAAAAATGATAGGTATATATTCAAATATAAGGATATTCTGATTCAGACAACCTTCATTAATATCATCCTTTTCTATCATTTTCTTCATCTTCATCCTCATCATTACTGTCACTCATCATCACTCCCTCCTCCTCCTCCTCCTCCTCCTCCTCCACAAAATGGCTGTTGGAGAGGTCTCCTCTGCGCATGCCCGGCGCACCTCCGGCAGGGAGGGCAGGGCAGGTATCTCCTCCTCCCGGAGCCGAGAGACAGACACACACTCCCGGCTTCACTCTGCAGCATGTGAGGAGGAGACACCGACACATCAGAGCCCCGCTGCCCCGCCGCCCTGCACCTCAAACCCGGCTGCAGCTCCCAGGATCCCCGCTGCACCAACCGGAGACTTCTGGAGGAAGTTTTTTGGGGTTTTATCACCACAGAAACACACAGAGAGAAAGAGAGAGAGAGAGAGAAAGAGAGAGAGGGAGAGAGAGAGAGACACCGCCCCGGACACACAGGTGTGGGGCAACTTGAGGATTTGTTTTGGTTAGTTTTACGCACAGGAGGAGATATGGAGAACCTGGGAATCTGAGAATTGTTCACATCTTCATCTTTTAAAAATGTTCCACCACGGAAACACCAAGAAGTGCTTCACCATAGAGTCCCTGGTGGGGAAGGAGGTGAGCGGAGGAGGAGGAGGAGATGAACCGATCCGACCCACCGCGCTCCGCTTCCCGGACTCTCTGCACCCCGGGGTGTTCGGCTCCTGTTTCCCGGGGAGGACTTCTTCTTCCTCCCTGTACGGATCCTCCGGGCCGGAAATGGGGCTTCTTCACCCGGACTCACACACGCAGAGTCCCGGGGGAGGAATGCCTCTTCACCCGCTGCAGATCCCTCCGCAGAGCTTCTTCGGCCCCGGGCAGCACCGGGAGCTGGGCTTCTACCCCTGGGTGCTCCGGAGCCGGTACCTGGGACACCGCTTCCAAGGTGAGCCCTCTTCCTTAGCTTTAAGGGCTTTAATTATTTTTTTTTAAATGTGTATGTATGTGCATGCATTCAGGGGTTTATTGTGGTGTTTTAGGAGTTTGATTTGCAATAGTCGTTTTTATTATTTCCGCTTCCAGGGCGAGCCCTCTTCATCACCTTATATACTTGCTTAATATTTTGTTTTTGTTATTTTTCATTTGTAAACTCAATATGCATATTTTCAATTTTGTTTGTTTATTTCTAGTCTTTTTAATTTGTATTATACAATGCCATGTCTTTTATGCTGCTGCAACACAAACATCTCCCAAATTGGGATCAATAAGTACTATCTTATCTTATCTTATCTTTAAGGGCTTTAATTATTTTTAAACGATTTATTTATGTTCATGCATTCAGGGGGTTATTTTGGTGATTTGCAATATTTGTTTTTATTATTGTCTGTTCTTGTTCTTCATCTTCTTCACCTATTATGGTTAAATGTGTTTCCATTTGGTGTTTTGTTTCCTGAAATGAAGCAGCTTAATTTCAGTCACTTGGTGCATGTTTCCTGACTTTATTCGGCTGATATAGTTTAATACCGTTTCTTTAATCTGCGTATTTCTGTGAGTTTGTGTTGCCATAATAATAAAGTTTTCAGATATTAAACTTAAATGCAATTAGTGTTTTTATATTATAATAATACTATATATAAAACTAGTATGATTAAATAACTAACTAGTCTTTCGCTTATAGTATTTGCAGTTTTTGATACAATCAGCGTGTGTGTGTGTGTGTGTGTGTGTGTGTGTGTGTGTGTGTGTGTGTGTGTGTGTGTGTGTGTGTGTGTGTGTGTGTGTGTGTGTGTGTGTGTGTGTGTGTGTGTGTGTGTAGTGTGTGTAGTGTAGTTAGTAGTTAGTA